TAGGGAGAGGGAGAAGCAGGCTCCATGCACCGGGAGCCCGACATGGGATTCGATCCCGGGTCTCCAGGATCGCGCCCTGGGCCAAAGGCAGGCGCCAAACCGCTGCGCCACCCAGGGATCCCCTGCAAGAATATTTCAAAGATTTCTAAGAATCATTTAAAGGCATAAAAATTTTAATATATTTGGGATTATCCACTGTATACTACAGAGCATGAATTTATACAATAGATGAGTGCTTTCAATTAAAGTGAAACATAAAGCAGTAATGGAAACAATTTACTAAAATTTGAAAATACTAATGTCAAAACTTGGTTATTATAGACTGTTATTGCTAATCTACAGTCAAATATACAAATCAAAATATTTTATTCTCAGTGAATAATTAACAAATCATTGGAGATTCTAAAATTTTGATCATTAATGTTCTTGGTTTCTCTTATGACCTTACTACATGCTCTACATAATTAGCAATGCATACATAATATATCTTCCAAATCATATTATAGACTTTTTAAGGAAAGGAATCTGGTCTTTGATTTTTACTATTACATTGCTTTGAACAGAGCAAATGCTTAATAAATACCTGATAAAAAGACATACTAAATGCTGTATACTAGAATTAATATTTCTAGTGCTGCATACTATCTTGTTTTAAATGTTAAGTCTCCCTTTGTCTCAGGTTATTATCGCAAGGTATTAAGCCTCATGTCAGGCTTCCTGCTCAGTGTGGAGACTGATCTCTCTCTCCTCCCTGCTCCTGCTTTCTCTCACTATCTTTGTCACTATCTTGGTTTCTCTTAAATAAAAAAAATCTTAAAAAAGAAATCTGACAAAGGTTGAAGATTAAACACAACTGATGAGTTATATAAGTATGCAAATAATAAAGAGCAGCACAGAATTATAATAAAGCATAATGGAGAAACAGTCTGGGTACATTAAAGGTAGTATCTATACAGGTTAAAAAAATTCTATTTAGTTCCTTGAAGACAGAATTAGTATGATATCGATCTATGGACCTCATACCTTAGGACTAAATCAGTAATTTGTTTTAGTCATCAAATATTTCCTGACTACCTATGATGTGTTAAGGCTAGGTTCTTAGTAAAGTATTAGAAATACAGTAATGATCCAGAGAGGCAAAATCCTTTTCTTGTAAATCTTCTGGAAAAATCGAAGTTTGCTAAGCTGTACATATAACGGTTTCATGAAAGTCTGAATTTATTGAGCTTTAGTTTTGTTTTTGGGAGGCTGTCATACAGTAGCTCCTTTATGAATATATTATAATAGTGTAAGCTACTTGGATATTTTTAATGTTTTAACACATAAAGAATGGATATGGGGCACCTAGGTGGCTCAGTGGTTGAGCATCTGCCTTGGTGATCCTGGGGTCCTGGAATCAAGTCCTGTATCAGGCTCCCCATAGGGAGTCTGCTTCTCCCTCTGCCTATGTCTCTGCCTCTCTCTGTGTGCCTCTCATGAATAAATAAATAAAATTTTAAAAAAAGAATGGATATTGGGGTACACCTGGGTGGCTCAGTTGGTTAAACATCTGCCTTAAGCTCAAGTCATGAGCTCAGGGTCATGGGATCAAGTCCTGCATCAGGTTCCTTGCTCAGCAGGGTCTGCTTCTCCCTCTCCCTCTGCCCCTCCCCTCTGCTTGCATGCCCAGTCTCTCTCTCTCTCTCTCTCTCAAATAAATAAAATTTTTTGAAAAAAGTATAGATATTACCCTATTATTAATAGAAGTTAAAATAACTATTTTTAAAAGTATAAATGACAAGGTATTGAATACAATATAAGCTAGTTTATAAATGTTTGTTAAAAAATGAAATTAAGAAAAGGTAAAAATATTTAAGACAGATGGTTGTCTTTATTTTTTTTTAAAAAAGATTTATTTACTCATTTTTAGAGAGGGAGGGAGAGAGCAGGGGGAGAGGCAAAGGGAGAGGCAGAGAAACTCTCAAGCAGATTTCACCTTGAGCGCAGAGCTCTATATGCTGGGCTCAATCCCAGGACCCTGAAGACATGACCTGAGATGAAATCAAGAGTCAGATGCTTAACCGACTGTGCCACCCAGGCACCCCTAGATGATAGTCTTTAAAAAATCTAAATGAGGAGTGACTTGGGTCACCGAGTCTCTTGAACCTCCAAATCTTGATTTGGCTCAGGTCATGATCTCACAGGTGATGGGATTGAGCTATAAGGATGCTTCCAGGCTCAGGAGGGAATATGTTAGAAATTCTTTCCCTATGACCTTCCCTGGACTTGTACTTGTTTGTATGCATGTATGCACGCACTCTCTCACTCTCTCTCTCTCTCTCTCTCTCTCTCTCTCATAAATAAGTAAATAAATAAATAAATAAGATCTTTAAAAAAAGGAAAAAAAAACAAAACTCTAAATGAAATCTCTCTGTCCCTATGCTTTGATATCTGATTTTTAAAGTAAGTTGCGAAAATAATCAAAAAAATTTTTAAGAAGTAAGTTGTGACTGGGTCAAGTTTTGCACACAGTGCTATGCTACCCTTTAGTCTTTCATGAATGTAATACACACTAAAAGTGTGACAACTAATTCAAAAAGAATATGAAAAGCATTTACTATGATAACAGATCCAAGATTCTAGCCAACAAGTGAGAAATTATACTAACAGAAGCAAGATGAAATTAAACCAGAATAATGTTAACATCATTCATGTTAAATTTTTTTTTTTGAATGATGCAATGAAGGTGGTGATGCTAAAATAAATATCTAGACCATGGTAAGTAGTAATTCTATAGTCTTTGTTATTTAGGTCCCGTAGAAAGGAATTGTTAGAGAAAAGCACAGGCTCTAGAACCAAATTGCTTCAGTTTAAATTCTAGCTCTGCCATTTACTAGCAGTGTAACCCTGGAAAAATTACTTGACCTTTCTGAGCCTTGATTCTCTCATCTGGAAAATGGGAGTAATAAGAGTATCTGCTTCATAGGGCTGTTATAAGAATTACATTATTTAGTATTTGTAAGGCTTTGGAAGGAGTGCCTATACATAATAGGTTCTATATAAATAATAGCTAGTGATATTATTAGAACATTAGTTTGAATTCAGGGTAATGTATTTTGAGAAAGCCAAACCAAAGTATATTTAAAGAAGTAGTTTTTAATCTTTCTTAGGTCACCAACCCTTTAATGGCTATAGTTCTTTCTCTAGAAAAAATTACAATAATTACTTTCAAGTGGTTTGTGGATCTCCTGAAAGCCAGCTAGGACCCCAAAGGTTATGGGTATTACAGGTTAAAAATCTCTAACCTAGAAGAACATAAACAAGGTGGTAAAAAAGAATGAGGTCTGGAAACTATAATAAAGAGACCGGTTAAAAGGTTTGTGCAAATATTTGGCTTCAACATACTTAGAGCATGATAGTTGCCCTCAAATTTAAAGCATGGCCTGAATAAAGAAGTACTCATGTTTTACTGCTCCAGATTACTGCATAAGGTGTTAGTTACAGAAAGGCATACTGGTATTCAGAATAAGGAAGAAAACAGTCTAAATCCTCATCTCCTAGGAATATAGATTTCAGTGTTAAAAAAAGATGAACTAGTTCAACTCTAATGATCCTACATAAAATTCATTCAGATTATCAATGAAGTATTGTTAGACACTTAGAGACAGAAGTAAACAAAACAATAAAAAAAATCCCTAAAAAAAAAAAAATTAAATAAAAAAAAATCCCTACTCTGATGATGCTAAATCTAGTTGGCAGAGATAGTCTGCCATTAATCTGGGAAAACATATTTCAGAAAGCAGCAAACACATGTTTACCAGGTCATTTTCAAAATATCTATTGGTTAGGGAATATGCTATAACTGTCTCTTATACTAGTTTTTGAAGGACTAAAATACAGCTGCTGCTTTAACATCAGATACTGAGCAATTTAAAGTATTTTTTTTTTCTTTAAAACATGCTTAACGTTCCACATCATAATACTAACCTGGAGTTGATGAAAACAACAATAACGAACTCAGTGGTCTCCAACTAATCTGAAACCTTACCGACAGATTTGATATTCACCAACCAAATACTTACTTGATTCATCATTTTAACAAAAGTACTCTGAATCAAACACTCTTATGGTGGGGGGGGGAGGGGGAGCAGGACTTACTTAAGTCACAGAAGAATAACTAAGAAATTAGAATTAGAATAAAGACTTGAAAATTGCTATATTCAAATTTCATAAACATTCATTTTCAAAAGTAACCTAGTGACTACTATGATGTCAGAAATCTGAAGCTTGATAGTTACTCAGTACTTACTGATATTTGCAAATAATTACATTTATCACATACTTTTTTTTGTTTCAGGAAGTCTATCATATACTCACACTTATTTATAGATATGTTTTCATATCCTGATCTCACTTGATACAAAATAAAAACAAAGCAAAGCAAAAGAATACAAAGCAAAACAATAATAGCCTTCTAAAATATAAGGTCAAATGTGAAAGTGATGGTTAGGGGAAGAAACTGTGTTATATAATTAGATAGTACGGCAAATCTGTGTTTTATAAAAATAATCTTGATCTACAATATTTGGAAATGCCCATTTCAGCTTAGTATCCCAAATGTATGAAGGGGTAAGAAAATAAAGCCCACTAGTATGGAAAACACATTTAAAAAAATAGCTTAACCAAATAATTAAGATAGTGAATTTTAAGCAAACTTTTCTTACAATAAAAGAAACACTGAAAAGCCATATATTTCCACCTATTTAAAGCTGAACTTGTTTTATGAAGATCTACTTGCAAGGCTTGGAAAATCTGAAGTATCTTAAATTTTGGTAGAATTTTCCAGGAAAACACTGACTGCATGTTTCTATCTGTAGAAATTAAACAGACATATTTTTAAATGTCTCAAAAGTATCAAACAGAACTAGTGTTAAAGAAATCTAAAGACATTTAAACTAGATGGCTCATAGGTCATCTAAGCAAAAGTCTAATCAGGTTCTCAAGTCACATCATATAATTACCTGTGTTTATTTCCTCTGCAATTTCCAAATCTTCTATTTGAATCATATGATCTAACATCTCTATGAAATGGTCTCTCATTTCTTCAGCTGACTCATCACCAAATTTATAATCACATAACATTACAGTAGATCCCGGAATGGGGACAAAAACTCGGTGAGGGAGGATGTGAAACTCTTTTTCAGAATCTAAAAGGAGGAGAAACATTATCAATATTTAGATAGGTCTGTCACTAGCATCAGTGATATATTTGCGTGAAATATACACTAATAAAAATAAAACCTAAAGGATCTTTTCATTTTCTAATTGATCAGATACAAAATTGCTCTTACTGAATTCTGCTTTACCTCAATACTCCTGGTCTCTGCAAGGGCCTAAATGATATTCCTATGAAATATAAACTTAACCATTGCCTTCAATGTAAGTAAGGATATTGTTTTTTGTAAGTTATATATTCTTATATTATCCACTATCCTATGAAGGAATAACTAGGAGAATTTTGTTCCTGATCTCCAATATTGTTGTTTTTCTTGTTTAACCATACAAGCACTGCATTTTGTAAATATTTCTCTTCTTTATGCAAGTTTAGAGTCAAATTAGTGGCCCATCTATATCAAGTGTACAGGACATAACTGCACACCTTTTGCACTAATCTTACCACTGACTTTATCTTATCAGATCTAGCCCCCATTTCAAGCATGTGTAGGGCATTAAGATACATGTTTTGTATACTAGTCTTACTACCAACTCCATCTTGCTTTTTCATTTTCCCTTTGCCTCATTCCTATTGCTAACATTTTTTATCTTGTTAGATTGTAGTACCTTTTTGTAAACAGTCTTAAATTATCTTTAGAAAAAATAATATGGATCTAAATAAACAATAAATGTTTCATTCTTTGAATAGTCACAAAGTAAAATATATTTTCCCCAATTTCTAATACTGTCACTGTTCTACATAAACACACAATTATTGTTTGGTTTAACAACATCAATTCTATTGAACTATTAACAAAGACAGAGATTTTGTGTAAAGAATCACCTCTTTCAGCAATGGGTATGATTAAATAAGGTACCAATGCACAGATCAAGCAGAAAACTAGGGCTTACTTTAAAAGCAATCTATATTTCCTTGTCAAGAAACTAGTGGTAGCTTTATATGACTACAAACTGAAGATGATGAAGAATGCCTTGTCACAGAAAATGCTATGACTTAAATTCTGTGTTCCTGCCAGATTCTGCTTATCTGTTGTCATATGAGAACTAGGAAAAAAAAATTTCTCTTTGATCAGACTGCCTCCTAGCTGTAAAATTATATTCCTGCAACTTTTACTGTAGCATGTATATTGCCCACACATTGAAATTAGGAATGTATTTTATTTTGGGCTACAGTTTCTTAAAACAAGTTCAAAACTTTCAAAGATGGCTACAATATGTATGTGTAATTAGCATGCAAAATTTTAAAACTATTTCAAACTGCATTAATTCTAGTTTGCCTGAAAAAGAAATAAAACATGCTTGACATAAAATCAAATGTTGCGATGCCTTGGTGGCTCAATCAGTTAAGTGTCTGCATTCGGCTCAGGTCATGATCTCTGGGCCCTAGATTCTAGCCCTGCATCAGGCTCCCTGCTCAGTGGGGAATTAGCTTCTTCCTCTCCCTATGCTCCTTTCTCTCTCACTGCCCCTCCCCCTACTTTGTGCTGTGTGGCACACTCTGTCTCAAATAAATAAAATGTTAAAGCATTAGTTACAGTAATTTTAAATTACTCATTAAAAAAACTTAAAAATTTCAAATTAAAAAGTTAAATTAGCCACTTAGTATCTAAATAGAACCAAGTTTCTGATTGGTCTGAGCTTAAAAATGGGAAGATTATTTATTTATTTATTTTATTTATTTATTTATTTATTTATTTATTTATTTTAAAGATTTTATTTATTTGACAGAGCATGCACAAGAGAACACAAGCAGAGGGAGAGGGAGAAGCAGGCTTCCCACTGAGCAGGAAGATGCGGGGCTTCAATCCAGGACCCCAGGATCATGACCTATGCCAAAAGCAGACGCTTAACCAACTGAGCCACCCAGGAGTCCTGGGAAGACCTTTTTAAAAAACATACTTGTCACAAAGTATTCTAAGAATCCGTTAGGAATATTCCCACAGCAGATCATCTAGTTAAACATTATTTGAGTAAGTCCAAAACAGAGTAAAAAATTCAAGGCAATTTAAGAATTGTGTTTTTTTGTAAAAATAAAAGCAGAATATACATCATCCACTAAAAAACACTATATGTTAACCATTTGCATCTGTATGATACACTTAACATGATTGTTTTTAAGTAACCGAATATACTGATTACATTAAGTTCTCAAATAATGATATTTTTTAAAAATTAAAAAAAATTGTTTTACTAGTTACAAATAGAATCCTAAATCATACTACTGTATTATAGAAAATTGTGTAGAATAGTTGGTATCTGAGTTAATTCTTAAAAGATGAAAGACATTTGTATGAAGCAAACAGAAGTGCCATCCAGAGAACAAAGCCACGACCAAAGGCAGAGGAATATAAGTGTTCTTTGAGCACAAGAGGTATGGATGGATATGAATGTAGGAATGGAAGAAGGTAAGAGACCTCAATTTTCACAATGAGTAGATCATCTGTTGAGAGTAAGTTGGGTAAGACTGAATGTAGGCTGAAGGCGAATAATGAAGCTCTGGAATACTTAAGGGGAATCTGAGAAGGGGAAGACCACAATAAGTTAAAGGAATGATTGGACTTCTTATATTTTTGTCATTAACTACTAAAGTTCTTTCATCTGGATAGCCAGAATTCAAAGACTATGTTTATTTTATTTATTTTATTTTATTTTATTTTATTTTATTTTATTTATTTTATTTTGTTTAAAGACTATGTTTATTTTAAAGATTAAGTAAGTAAAGTTAATATGCCCTTTGCAGACTTCCTTAGGCATGCAAAAATATTCTAGTTCAGCTTAATTTCATGGCATACATGCTACATTTTACCATACTACAAATCTATAAAATCTTACCAGTATATAAGAAAGATAAGCTAAAGTAAAACGAAGACTAAATCTAAAATCTAACAATTTGGAGTATATACGTTCAACTTCAAAATGTACATTTAAAAAAAAGGGATGCCTGGGTGGCTCAGCGGTTGAGTGTCTGCCTTTGACACAGGGCGTGATCCTGGAGTCCCAGGATCGAGTCCCACATCGGGCTCCTTGCAAGGAGCCTGCTTCTCCTTCTGCCTACGTCTTTGCCTCTCTCTGTCTCTCATGAATAAATACATAAAATATTTTTTTAAATGTATGTTTATTTGTATTATTACACTTGCAATTTATTCTTTGATCGTGGTATCTTAAGATCAACTAACGTTGCTGAAATAAATCTCCTGTTAGCAAAGTTTAAAAATATATAAATTTATATTGCTTTCTTTTTGAAATATAATATACTTCCCAAAAATTAAAGTTAGGAAATTTTAAAGACAACTATCAAGTAATTCTCTTTATTATCTCCAATAAAATAGTAACTACCACTTACTGAACATATAGCTTACCAATTTGTATTAGGGGCTTTACAAACATTATCTTTTTAAATCTCACAATCTCAAAGAGTAACTACTGTAATTCCTATTTTCTAGATAAGACAATGGATGCTTGGGCAGACTCAATCATTGGTCCAAAGTGACTCCCCGCTAGTGGCAAAGTAGACACAGAACCCAAGTACATCAGTCCTCTTTTTCCAACAAACTACACTGCCCATTCTCTTCACGCAGGCCTCAAAGGCTACTCAATTACCAGTGAAAACTTTTTAAAAAAATTTAGGATAACATTAGATGATGATGTTAACCTCTAATACATTTAATGTATAAATATCACAACTGCTGTGAGAAGTCATTTTACTGCTTCACCATCAGCAAAAATTTCAAAATACTAGCCTACTTAATATAAATTAATACCAAAACAGTCATACAATACCAGTTTACGAAGCATTGTTAGATGAAACAGAGTATCTAACTAATGTGTGTAATAGAGTAGATCTTTGGCATTAATGGTAAATGCATCCCCATGTCCCCGAAAATCCTAAAATTAACAGTTCAGTTGTAGCACATACTATTACTCAGAAAGTGAAGTAATGTTTAGCACCACTAGAGTTATTTCATACACTAAGTTAAGTGGTAAAAACAAGGCCACCCTGACATGAGGTTGATAGGCTGACTGGGTGACTAACTGGCCAGGTTTTACATACTTCCTAAAACAAAAATCTCAATCCAAATGCTGCATAGAAGATTCAAATTCACGTCTCAGTAAAACTACACACTATTAGTAAATGGAGCTTCAGGGTTATTTGTGAGTACAGGAAGGACAAATGTTAAATCTGGCAATTCCGCTAATGTATCATACTAGGAATATAAAAAAGACTGACTAGGCCACCAAACCTAATATACTAGCTATCAGCAGTACTACAAGAAGAGTTTTTCCTATAAACATAAAAATATTCCCTTAACAAGCAAATATATATGTTTCTATTATGTACATATTCAACTGTGAATTGCAAATGTACTCATACCTGAATGGTAGAACAGAGAAAAATGTGTAACTTTGAAAAGCGTATTCAATGCTATAACTTGAGTAAAAACTATTATTAATACAAATTTCAGAAATGGTATAGTTTATACTTCTTGAAATGGAACAATTATAAAAAGGTAAGACATGAGCCAGGCTTTTTAAAAATCTAATAAAGTATGCCAGAGTAATATTGAGTATATAAATTAAGAAAAATTTAGAAAAATGTAGTATGAATAGATCAATTGCGTATATACCACAAATTAATACCTATTAAAAATTTATTATATAATACTTAACACTAATATTTTTATTTTCAATAATTTTCTTAAAAATCTCAGATATTAATTTTTAAAATAAACCTTTAAAATATTAACAAAGGGGCACCTAGGTGGCTCAGCTGGTTAAGTGGCTATCTACAGCTCAGGTCATGGTCTCAGGGTCCTGTGTTAGGGTTAGCCCCACATCAGGCTCCCTGCTTAGTGGGGAGCCTGCTTCTCCCTCTCCCTCTGCTGCTCCTCCTGCTTGTGCTCTTTCAAATAAGTAAAAAAAATCTTAAAAATAAAAATAAAATAGAATAAAATAAAACAAAATATGAACACAGTTTATCCATTCTGGCAGACATTCATGCCCTCCCTATGACTGTTAAATACTGACAAATTTGTTGTTATAAGGTGTTCCAAACATTTTTTGGGGGGAGCAACTGAAAAGTTGTCATTCACTATGACAATGAAGATTAAAAGATGTCATGTTATTATAAAACATAGATATGGGTAGTTATAAAAGATAACATATTTACTACATTTTGATATCCTATTATTTTTATCAATTCAACACATGCAAAAAATGTTCTTAATTTTATACTCATAACTTTTTTTTCTGGAATTTCATTCAAAAGCAGATCTTCAAATAGCATTTCACAACGATCTGCAACTGTATTCAATATATCTCTCTTCATTGCCTATGAAAAAACAAAGACTACAATAAGAAACAAAACTCATTACTTTAAATTTGTACTATTTTATTACCACCCTCCCCCAACACAATTGACTTTCCTATATAATCATGTCCACCAAAATAACTGGTACATCATTCCATTTTTTAATATCCATTTATTTAACATGCTTACTGACACACGAACAGTTAAATGGCAAATTCACCTAACCTTCATTTAAATAATTTAAACCAAATAAATGAATGAAATTTTCCACTTAAACAAATAATGTTAGTGTTCCAAATTAGGAAATGTGTAACTATGACCAAAGTACCAGTCATCATTTTTAAAATTTCTGAATTACCCAGATTATAGAATCCTACCTAATAAAACTTAGAATGAATACTTTTCCTGTTATTTAAAAAGTTTTATTTCCTTCCAAAGGAATGATTTCAAATGCACTAATGTATCACAGACTCTGGAGCACTGGATAAATTTGTATAATACCAATTCAAAAAAGGCATTTTAAAATAGATACCCTGCATATGAAAATCTTGGGACCAATTACAGTGTATATATGGAATAGCCAATAGTTTGGGATTTGATTATCAGTTAAAATCAAATTAATAATTATGAAATCTGAGATTGAAAAAAAAATTTAGCATTTTTGAGTAGTTACATTAACATGCTTCTGTTTTTCATATACCAGTTATTGCTTTTGTACCTGCACAGCATCTTTAACCTTGGGTTTATTGCTATGAACATAGGCTCTGCATTTCACAGCACCCTTAAGGTTTACAGAGCCACTGCATATCTGGACTGTGGCTGTGGATCTGTGGTCCGAATTCAGAAGCTGAAAAACAAAATCTATTTAGGTTCTAGTAGCCAACAATTATTAACTATGTGAAACATTTAAACATTTTATAACCCACTTCATGAAGCAAGATAGAATTTTTGACTGAACCAAATGTTTGAAAATATTTCCCATAAATTCTTAAAAGGCCTCCATATTCTTCCTAAGTTATATATTACTTTCTGAGTATTTTAAAAGCAGTCTAAAGTTAAACACAACTACATCTAATTTTTTTCTAACATGACTACCTAAAATAACATTATTTATTTAACACATACACTAAAAACATATTATTTGCAGATTACTCAGTTAAGTATTGTTACGATGAAAAGATGTGTAAAGAAGACATATATATCTACTATATCTTCCATCTAGTAAGACATATATGGTATGTAATATAAGATTTGCACAAAAAAATCATTGGAATACAGAGGTTGTGATAAATTTGCTAAAATGATAAGCAGTATAAAGACACTCACTTAATTATACACTTTTGACTCTTAACTTCCATAGGCTAAAAGTAATGCTATGTGCTCCCCTGCAACAAAAAGGCAAGTCAACTGTGGTTGCCACCAGAAAAATTGCCTTTTGTCAACAAAAAGGCAACCAACTGTGGTTTTAAGTGGTCACTTCTATCTTACAATCTCATTTTTCCATAATCTAAAGAATGTTAATTCGTGCTTAATTTTGAGATGTTTCACAGATATTTTTAACCTTATTATTTTAATAAATGCCAAAACAAGTAGAGCATTAAAACAGTGAAAGTACTACTGGAAGCCTATAAAATCACAATGGGAACAAAAATTGTGATTTTAAAATAGGATACCCCAAAAAGAAAATAAATAAATAAATAAATAAATAAATAAATAAATAAATAAATAAATAAATAAATAAAAAAGAATACCCCCAAATGAGACACAGTAAAGATAAAAATTCTAAGTATACTTGGAATAAATAGGGTCAATTCTGAAGAACAAAAACAAATCATGAAACTTTGAATATTGCTATATGTGCCTCTGTAATAAAGAATAATCAGGAACTGAGGAAGAAAAATGGTAAAGAAGCAGAAAGGCTTGAATATGTAGCTACTGAAAGCACATGAACAGTCAATGTCTAATGTAATTCAGCCAAAGCTAGTTTGGTTTTCTTGTGTGTGTTTTTAATAATTTAAACTTAAACACAGCAAAGGTCTTATTGGTAAGAAATCAGTCACAGACCAAACAGTTCAAGAGGCTCCAAGTCTTTTTAAAAAATGTCTTTTCAAACCAAGCAGCAGGGTAATAATGCTCATACTGTATCTGAAATAAGCTTCCTATGATACTTGTATCATACTTGTAGGGATCATCAATGTATCAATAAGGTGGGCTTCCTTTATCCACTACATATTTTATTTTATATATTTAATATCTAACATATGTTTTATGACATATAACACATTTATAGTATGTATGTATAAATTAGGGCACTATTTTCCAAAAACACATGGAGAGTTTTTTTTTTTTTTTATGACAGTCACAGAGAGGGGGGGTGGGGCAGAGACATAGGCAGAGGGAGAAGCAGGCTCCATGCACCAGGAGCCCGACGTGGGATTCGATCCCGGGTCTCCAGGATCGCACCCTGGGCCAAAGGCAGGCGCCAAACTGCTGTGCTACCCAGGGATCCCCACATGGAGAGTTTTCAAAAGATACAAGGATTGACTTCTTTCTGGTGGAAATGTACCTGTGTTCTACAAATGTCAACTCCTTTTGGTTTCTTTGGACTTAGGAACAACTAGCTAACAAAGAGGCTCTGGGAACCTAACTTGGTCATATATGGAAGAATTTCTGCGACAATGATATGGTTATTTTGGAGAAGAAAAGATCCCTCTGGTTATGATGACCAAAAGAAGCTACAGAAGTGGTAGCGTTTGGGGTAGATCTTAAAGTGCAGATAGGATTCTGACTGACTGAATGACAAAGAAAAGATGGTACTGGCAAGACACATCGCCAGAAAATAAACATGATTTTAAAGGCATAGAAAGCAAAGATCTAAAACAATAAGTATGATATTAATGAACAGGCACCCTGAGGCTATGAAGAAACTTAAATTAGACTTTTCTAAGTTGTCAGTATACAGCACTTAAGGACTTTTAAACAAGGTGATTAACACAATCAGTGCCTAACTCTTATACATGCTCAATAAATACTTTCTGGAAAAACTAATAAGTAAGTAACAAGTGAATGGATGCAAACTGTGATTCAGATAGGATAATTTGAGGTTACATGCAGGATAAATTGGAAATATAGAAGATATTCCAAGATATATACAAACAAAGGTATCAGGATTTTCAGAAAAGAATAACTTTGGACAGGAAATGAATGGATGGAGAGAGACCAGTTAAGAGTTACTTAAAATAATACAGATAAAATAATAATGCTGTAAGACTAGTAGCAGTAAGACTATAAGGAAAATAAAAGATGAGCTAACACTGCAAAGGAAGAATCAACAAGACTTAAGGGAGGTTGAGTAGGAAAAATATTTACTACTTATTATATATTAGTCATTTTAAAGTTTCCAACTGGCTGACCAGTGGAATGATTGATAAAAAGATATTATACTGTATGATTTTTATACAGTATAATATCTATATACATTTTTATACATTTATATACATATAATGCATTTTTGTAATTTTATTATACTGTATATTTATAATATTAAATACTATAACAATAAATCATCTCTCATAATATTCTTTCTTCTCTATATTCCCACAGTGCACACATCTACCAACTCCAATTTTATCACTAAAATAATTTTAAGTAAATTATTTAAAAAACCAAGAGGTCACATAACCATATCTAGTAAAAAGCATATAGGTACAAGAATAGCTTTAAAATAAAGGATACTTCTAAACTCAAAGACATTAAGAGAGAAATTGAGAACTCATTTTGAGTGGAATTAAGTCCAATGACAATTTAGTAAATACTGTTAAACACAGAGAAGAAATTAAAACATTCTCCTATGCAAAATTACTTTTAAGTCTATTATACGCAATTAAAAAAATATGCAGTATTTATATCTGTATAAAAATATACAATAAGGGACGCTTGGGTGGCTCAGTGGTTGAGTGGTCTGCCTTGCGCTCGGGGCGAAATCCTGGAGTTCTGGGATTGAGTCCCACATCAGGCTCCCCACTGGGAGTCTGCTTCTCCCTCTGCCCATGTCTCTGCCAATCCCTCTGTGTCTCTCATGAATAATAATTTTTTAAAAATACAATGAAAAATATTCTGTTCTGCATGCATACTTTTAGGAATAATTAGTGGTTTTAATTTTTTATTCTTCAAGATAGCCAAATTTCAATTCTGAAAAGGTGTGTAATTTAAAACAACTATATAAGAATATAAAAATTGCTGGTAACGTGTGATTTTTACCTAGAGAAGGTATATACTTCAAAATTTAGTATATGACAACTCTTGGCACAATTGTGCACACATCTTTTTAAGTTAAGAACTACAACTCTGCTCATAAAAACTACATCCTAAAATATTACACACATATACACGTACATATGTATATATTAGATGTTATATATTTTTAAAAATTACATATATTTTTAAATTACTCTCTATTTGATGCTAAAATTTTAATAGCCTTCAGGCAAAAAACCAAACTAGGTCTTATTAAAATGTTTCTTGGAAATAAATTTCCTAGAACTGGACATTTTTACACTTTACATCTCTAAAATTCTTTGACTTTAATTATAAATATAAATATAAAATATAAATATAAATACCAAAACAATTTCATTATAGTTACTCTGAGAAATAATGTATTTTAGATAAGTAGTATTTTAAAATATTTACCAACTGTGTTAGCACTTTGACATCAAAAGAATGACTAGCTGCTTGAACATTTCCTCTCGAAGATTTTTTCTAGGAAAAAAAAAAACAACATAAAATTTAAAAAAACCTCAAATACTGACACTGGCGTGGAATACAAAAGACAATTTAGGAACTGTCCTACATATATTAATCAACTTAGAAGAAAAGAAAGTCTTGTTATTTGTTTTATATTGGCTTTATATATATATATATATATATATATATATATATATATATATATTTATTACTTTGTATATTGTCTATCAATCAGTGTGTACTCTTAAAAACCTTTAATTCCCTACTTTTATTCCTGTAAAGCAAGGATTAGCAAACTATAGCCTATAGGTCAAATCCAGACTACTTCTAGTCTTTGTAAATAAGTTTTACAGAACATAATCAAGATCATTCATTTACATATCATCTGTGGCTGCTTTCATGCTACACTAACAGCTGAATAGTTGCTAGAGATCATGCGGCCCACAAAGTCTAAACCACTACTTGGTTTTTTACAAAGTTCACTGACCCTTGCACTAAAGAGATTACCAAAGTTCGTCTTCAGATAGATCAAAGCTATTTAAAAAGCCTATAAAGATGCCTTCTAGAAAATGGCCAAACTTGGTCTTTAAACTGCTATCAAAGTAGTTTTAAGCAAGCAGTTTGCAATTTGGAAATAGAATTTAGTTGACACACACTCCCTTCTTCAGATTTCAGGATCCCAATTAATTAAAAATAATCTCTTAGCATTTTCTGGAAAAAAAAAAAAACATTTGCCCTTTACTTTTAAAAGACCTTAGAAATTAAAAAAATAAGAAATAGATGGGAACTGTTTTCATGAAGGTGAGAACTACAGAAAAGATGACAGAAAAGTCATCTTTTATTTTTCCTTAAGCACATATAATTTCATTAGAAAAATGATTTTCTTTCAACTCACCTGTCCTTCTAAGAGGTCACAATCTTCGTCTTTAACTTGTCCATTAATCAAATAAACGCCATTTTCTATTTGCTTAGCCCAGCGAACAAGTCCGTTCTTAAAAGGAACACAACATGGATATCTTTCAGATATAATGCCACCTCTATTAAACTCCCTAGGGTCCAGTTTTTTCCACCTAATACACTGAAATGTTAATGTGGTAATCAGTAAGGTGGTATTTATTTCTTGAGTTAACATTTTGCCATTTTTTCTTCATGTATTTAAAAAAAATTTTGCGGGACGCCTGGGTGGCTCAGTGGTTGAGCATCTGCCTTCCGCCCAGGCTGTGATCCTGAAGTCCCAGGATCGAGTCCCACATCAGGCTCCCTGCATAGAGCCTGCTTCTCTCTCTGCCTATGTCTGTCTCTCTCTGTGTGTGTCTCTCATGAATAAATAAAATTAAATTTTTTTTTAATTTTTGCATATAGTTGACCCACAATGTTACATTAGTTTCAAGTGTACAACACAGTGATCTACTTTATTTATAGTATGCTCACAAGTATAGCTATCATCTGTCACCACAACACTATTAACAATATCACTGACTATATTCTCCATGCTGTGCTTTTATTCAGTTTCATAAACAAAAAAAAAAAAAAAAAAAAGGATATCCCCAAGTTTGGCAACTTAGCCATATTTAATAAGTTTCTCTAATCTTTATCCTAAACTAACATTGTATTACACACTTGGGAGGCTTAATAACTAACTACATGACCAAAGTCAAATAAAATTCAGTAATTCCCATTATATTAAAAGAAAGTGAGAAAAGAGAAAGAACCTCAAAAACATATATATTAAGGAGAAAAAAAATAAGCAAGCTCCAGCAGAAGAGAAATGAGATATGAACAAAAGAATGTACAGAAATACGAAAAAGGAGTAGAAAGGAGAAAATAAAATCAAAGAAAAGAAAGACCAAACAGTATACCTTTTTTATATATTTAATGTAATGATGTTTTACAATGTACTTAGCTACATGTTAATCAACAAATATCTATGAAGTACCTATCATGCTAATACATTAGTATTATGATGCTGTCCTATCTTTAAATTTCTAATTTGCTTGCGGTAATAAATTAGTCACCCATAATATTATAATTAGCATGTGATTTTTGAGGATTATAAAACGGCATAGACAACCAGAATAAAAGCAGATCATCTATTCAACAATGACTAAGGAGAATTCATTTTGCCCTGATACCTTTGTATTTTTCTCCAGCGTATAGCTGACAGAGGTGGTAGACAGCGGGATGTGAATATTAACATGAACTGTACACTCTAACGGAAGCCATGAGGTTGACAGTCCATTTTGGTACTTCCAATCTGCTGGTTTTGCTGAACTCTTTAGCAGTGGGGAAGGTGGAAAAACATAAAATAACGTGATTCAGGTAAAATACGTGGGTCAATAAAATACTATAAAACGTACAACCTAATTAACTCACACAAGCTGATACCTAATATATTTTGGTCAACTTCTCTCATCAAAGGGCAATAAGTTAAAACTAAATAGAAATAAAGCATGCATTAAATTCACTACCCTTCAATACATCCCAGGCAGCCTTGGCAGCTCCATCCCCCAGAGGTAGGTTGAAAAGAATCAGACAGTTCATGTAGAATTCTGACAAGTCCTCTGGTTCTTATCTGTAGCTTCAACAGTATCAAATTAGAAGCTTTTGTGTGGGGCAAATAATCACTGAGCAACTATCAGGTGCCAGATATTCTCCTTTCTGTCCTATCCTTGCTAACACTACACTGCAAAGTTACTTTTTTTCACATTGCTTTTAGACAACTTAGCAAAACATTAGTATGGATTCTGCTAGTAGATGGCTTACTTAACTACGCAACTAACTACCAAAGGCCCAGATGCTTTTACTACTACCAGCCTCTCAAATATAATACTAAATGCATAAATAGGTAGGGGGAGCTTAATAAAAATATTTGAACAAAAAAAAATATCCTTGCTTGTAATGAAATTAATCACATTTCAAAATTTTAAAAAACTGCAGGTGGTTTTGGACACCTATAGGAAATGAAAGCTCTAAAAATTATTAAAACTAAATAACTGAAATTTTAAAAATACTTTGCAATACAATTTTTTTTTTTTTGCAATACAAATCTTTTAAAAAGCAATTTTTCTTACCTTTGGATCACGGATATCATAAGTCCGACAAACTATTCTTTACTGATTAAGGACAGAAATAACCAAAGAAAGAGAAGTAATTTTTGATAATCAAAAGAAAATAAGTCATCAAAAAATAAAAATAAAGTGCATGCATCTAAGGGTTTTTACAAAATCATACCACTTCATATAAAGATATATATACACATATATTTACATGTTTGCACAAATACATGTACATCTTGTAAATAAACATATATATATTCACACTTTGCATAGACTAATACATGTACACAAAAATTGTTCTGACTGTAATACTTGTGGTGCTTTAACTATTCCCTATTGCTTAAAATCCTGCTAATCACAATGAATAGAATGGAAACACTTGCAAAATTTCCCTCAAATACACACCCTCTATAAAAATAGAGGTGCTGTTTTGAATGGAGTCAAGACTGAAAATGTTTATTGGGTCAAAGCGCCTGTACATGGAACTTTTAAATACCAAAGGAGTTACCAGCTCAGCTTCTGTAGGAATGGTCTCTTCTTCAATTTATCTTTTGCAAGGCCTAATTTACTGGGCCCTTACACTGCTTCGCTCCCTTGGTATGGCTGCCTCTTGCTCAGGAGATACTCTTGCCCTGGCAAGATACAGAGGAAAGCAGCTAAGGAGGCCCTAAGGAGGCTTCCAGTGTCACTTGTTCTTGGCTAAAGACAAAAAAATTTCTTGGATGTCCTACACTGTCCAGCTCAATACATCTGTGCTTTAATTGGACATTTTGAATTGGAGGTGAAAATTCAACAAGATAAAAGCATTACTTTGCCTGCATTGTCAGGCATCTACCACTCAGCAGAGGATCTACTGAGCTTCAATGGACAGGGGCAGTTAGCTGGTAAAGAGTTCAAAATCCCCAGTCCTTGCCATCTTTCTCAAACTCTTTAACAATCCTGAGACATGATTAAAAACCATTATTATTACTACTATTATTGGCAGTCCTAATTATGTGTTATTTACAGGAAAAACTTCCAAATTATGCTTGTTTTTAAAATATAAGTAAATGGGAAAAAAAACTTGCAGGAACATTATTTTGATATCATATAGTTTAAAACATAAACACCTAAATAAAAGATACTTTTTTGTAGAAGAGCAAATGTGAAGTGTCACTCTTTCTGAGATCTCTTCTTCTGTGAAATTCCAGAGTCTCCTTTTATTCAAAGATTTTTCCATAGCAAATATTAGCTGAAAGGGAGGAAAACACACATTACCTTAATACAAAATAAGAGAACAAAAGTGAGTGCAAGGAAAAAGATAATTATAATGTCCCTAAGCTCCTAATTCGTTTTAAAATTCTATGATTCCATCATTAAATTTTGTTTTCTTCAAAAAAGAAAAAAAAGTGAAACTGATTTATTAACCTTTTGGATTCCATTTTCAGAAATCTATAAAATTTGATTTTTAAATATAAAAATACAAATCACTGTCATCAATCTGCTGGACATGAGAAATTATTTTTGGGCAATTAGCATTTAAGTTTAAAAGTACAGAACAAAGACTATTTTAATTAGAATGAAAAATGACAAGTGATATTTAACCTATAAAAATGAAGCATGCCACCCACTTGAGATTTATTTAAATGTCACAAAAAAATGTAAGGCACTATATACACATAAAATATACTAATAATATAAATTGAAAATAAGAAAATCAGAAATAGTGACATACATTTATGCCAGAAATAAGAATTATACAAATGCATATTTGATATGAGTGGAGGGTCATAAACTTTTAAAGATTTTATTTATTCATGAGAGACACAGAGAGAGAGGCAGAGACAGAGGCAGAGGGAGAAGCAGGCTCCCAGCAAGGAGCCCAATGTGGGACTTGATCCCGGACCCCGGGATCAGGATCTGAGCCAAAGGCGGATGCTCAACCACTGAGCCCTCCAGGCATTCCAAGGGTCATAAATTCTAAACTTCCTAACAATAGTGTACACAGCCAAACCTAATCTGTTACCTAATTCACATTGTCCATAAACTGAATACAACTGATGAGAAGAGACATAACTTTCTTGATAATAACATCAAAAGAAATTTCTTCAAAGGTGATAGTATGTAACATAACAAAGTTCTCAACAATGACCTTACGGGAGACACTAGTTTTGTAAGGTTACTTCTTACAAAGTTCCTCACTATGGGCAGTGGAAAAAAAGTCAGAAAATGGAAACTCAATAAGGCCTGAAATACAGCCTTTCTAAAGTCTTATTTGCCTCTTAGGAATAAAATGATACAAAAGCAAAAGGAAAAGATAAAAGGACCAACTGTATCTCTCTAGCACTGAGCCCATATTCACCTTCTTCAATCCAGTCCCAATCACAAAAGGATTTACAACCATCGTGATTAAGCACATACACATTTAGATTATATTTCAAAATGTCAAAGAAGTTGAACAATTGTAAAAGGTACATTTATTTACAATGGAAAAAAGAGCAGAAAGTTGAGTAACTTGCCAGGGGAGGGGAATATCTCCATTTTCTTCCCTTTCTCCCTTAGGCACAAATTGCAAAGATTTGATGTGGGACATTTGACAGGCACAAATAGCAAAGATTTGATGTGGGACATTTGACAGGAAAGGTTACAAAACTGGAAGAATCTATAGCAACTATGATTCTTATGAGCTACAGACTTTTTTACTAGAAAATTTTTTTGATTCTGTGGGGTTTTGCACTTCTCAAGATTATGGGTCCCCCCTCTCTCTTGGGGTGGGAAAGAACTTTTTGAAGGCTCATCTGGATCCTGAGTATTAAAAAAAAGATGAAAGTTGCCTGCACAAAGTTTGCTTTAGATTTGGGCTTAAGGGGAAACAGCTTGTAGACCTTCATATTTATTTACAGACTATGTTGTTACCCAATTTACTGATATGGGAGTAAAACATACAGGAGGGGACTAATGATAGATACTCTGCCCAGGAATAAAGAATAAGTATCTGATTATGTTTTACTCTCAGGATCTTGAGAAAATTGAACAGGTGAAGAATCACATATCTATCACTTTCACATTATACCAATCACTTTGAACTAGAAGGAAGTTCTAGCAGAATATTGCTATTGTACAAGAAAAATTGTTAAAACCACTATAATTTGTCTCATAATAGTATAAAATTATCTTTCTTTTTAAAGACTTTATCTATTTATTCATGAGAGACATGGGGAGAGAGGCAGAGACATAAGGCAGAGGGAGAAAAAGGCTCCCTATGGGAGCCTGATGTGGGATTTGATCCCAGGACCCCAGGATCACGACCTGAGCCAAAGGCAGATGCTCAACCACAGAGCCACTCAGGTGCTCCAGTAATAACTTATCTTTAAACTTAAAGTTATTTAAAAATATATAGCTTTGATTGAAAATAGAAATATTGACTTTTTTTTTACACTCAAAATACCAAGCAGTTGGATGGAAAAAGCTATTTCAACTTAATCCCAGCATAATTACGGAATGCTAATCTAAGTATGCTTAGGATCACTGTACATAGTATAATCAATTAAAATAAGATATAACTTTGAGGCACCTGGGTGGTTCAGTCAGTTAAGCATCCGACTCTCGATCTTAGCTCAGATCTTGATCTCAGAGTTGTGAGCCCATGCCCAGCATGGAGCACACTTCAAAAAAAAAAAAAAAGTCACTGATCATATTAAGAATTTCTGATATTTCAGACTTACTCTACGCAGGGCATTTTGACAATCATTTCCCATTTCTAAAGTTGTAATGATAAATACTCCAAGAACTAAAAGTCCCCCTGGTAGCATTCTGGACACCTAAAAATAGAAATATAGTATTAGTTAACATAAGCATTTGGCATTATATGAAATCCTTTGTGTTTGATAAGCTAAAAATTAAATCAGTAAATACTGAGTTCCAACTATATACCTAGCACTGAGGTGGGAGCTTTGAAAAACAGGTTAAAATACTGAGAAATAGTTGATAACCATGATGAATGGGGCATCATTATGTACACAATCTTCCTAGACTGTCCTTAATTTTTGGCCTTTATAACTAAAGCCATTTAATACTATTAATAATGACACTCTTTAGCTACATCAATAAATCCCTTTCTCATGAGATCACAGACTGAAATATCTTCTAAAATATTTTCAATGGCTTCTACTGTCACCTAAATAATATATAAATGTATCTACTACTGGTATTTCAGACTCTCTAAAATCTAGCTATCTGATATTCAGAGCCTCATTTGATATTACTTCCCCTGAAATATTAGGAAGTCCTCACTCTTCTCCATACACATATCTGGCTAACTCTACACCTTCATTCAGGCTGCTGCCTCAGCATGAACTGACTTTCCCTTATCCTTCTATGTGTCTGAACTCTGTTGAATACTTCAAAGTCACCTTAAGGAAGCTGCCTTCCCTGATACTTTGATCTTCCAGGTCCCACAGGACTTTGGTGTTGTTTTCCCATGGAACTTACCGCACAAGCCTGTGTTATGATTACTGGTATGTGATGGTCTGGAAGTTAAGGGAAGAAGTGGTTCTCAACTAACTCTGTATACCTACAAAGAAGAATACTAAAGCCTGGGATTTGAAGAGAAGGAGTCTGACTTAAAAATCCTTTGTTTCCTATATTTTATGTTTACTTCAATTTTTTATATCTGTTTATTATATTGAGTATGAATGTTATTTCCAATTTTTCTTTACTCAAATAATACTGTAAAAATTCTAGCAAGGCTTTCTCTGTTCATGGGATTATTTGCTTAGGATAAATTTTTTGAGATGGATTACTAGGTTATGAAGTTATACATATTTTTAAGGTTTTTTGGTCCATACTACCAATTTGTCCTCCATGTTATTTCCCTTCATGTAATTGTGGCTAGTTCTTAATACAGATGGAATTTTTTCTACCAACTAAACTCAGAGATCAAAATGCTTTGGTTATTTTTTGTATACTGAGTACATAAAAAAACTGGTCAGAAAGTTAAATCTTCTTAGCTACCACAGTCTATTCTGGAATACTTTTACATTGTGTCTGTTGGTGATTCCCTCTGTATTAATAAATTCTATTCATTATAGTAACACAAGCTTGACACATAAAGAACAAAGTTTTCATATTTAGCATGAGAATTATGCATGTTTTCAAAATCACGCGCGCATAAAATTAGCCGTTTCTTTCTAGAGGCAAAAAGGTTAACTTATTTTGCTATAAAAATTTTATGTTTGTGTGTGTACATATATGATGTACATCTCTCAATACATATATGTGTGTGTGTATATATATATGCTATACACATATGTATAAGTATATACTTTTAAAAGAAACCAAAAGCACAATTGGAGTCCAAAATTATTTAGAAGCCATTGGGATTTGAGCTTAAAATATTTAATATTTTCATTAGAAGATGACATTAAAAATTTTTTAGATTCTTTCACTACATACCACCCCCCATCACAAATACATACACACATACAGATAAACATGCGCATCTCTAAAAAATTTAAAGTTGGTGGGAGATGAAAATGATTACTTTTACTCTAGCATTTCCTGTTACCTGACATAATACATTCATTGACTACTTTTAAGTGGTCACAATTCCCTCTCTCTCGCTCTCAAATCTGTTTCCCTCTATGAAATGGCAACACCATCTTCTTCCTAGACATCCAGATTAGAAATCTCTGTCATCTTTAGCTACTTTCTCAAATGCTCTTCGGTCCTAGTCTACTTGGTCACTACATTATCCTGCTACTAGCTCTGTGAGTGGCGTGTTTGGTAGTGAAGTTTTAGCCCACTGCATTAGTTAATTCACGTATTCATTTATCAATATTTTGGAGTTCTTGTAAACCATGGAAATACTATGCTTGGCACTGAGGAGATAGCCATAAACAAAACAGATGTGACAGATCCTCATGAAGCTTATCTAGTGTAGGCTCACATCATCTTTTTTTGAACTATTATAGTAACTGATGTTCAGTATCTCTACTGTCCATTTACACTGTAGCAAGGCATTGAAATTATTTTCTAAATTACTGATCAATCACATTAACTCCTTCCCAAGATAGGGAGCTCTGAATGTCTACTATAGAGCTACTATCTTTTTTTTTTTTTTTTTTTTTTTACTTATGATAGTCACAGAGAGAGAGAGAGGCAGAGACACAGGCAGAGGGAGAAGCAGGCTCCATGCACCGGGAGCCCGATGTGGGATTCAATCCCGGGTCTCCAGGATCGCGCCCTGGGCCAAAGGCAGACGCCAAACCGCTGCGCCACCCAGGGATCCCTAGAGCTACTATCTACCAAACAAACTCTTGCTTCTTAGGATGACATTCCAGAACCATCCATAAACTGGCCCCTTCCAGCCTTATATCTAAGTTCTTTTATATACCCCATGTTCCAATTATACCCAATTGGCTTGCTCTTCCCCTGCCTTGAACTTTCATACCTTTGGGTCATTTATTCATACTGTCCTTTGTATGTTCAATATGTTCTCTGACTTCTACTAACAGCCCTATTCATCTTACAAGTTCAGAACCTTTTCTGAAGCCATTTGAAATCCAGCCATTTGAAGGTATTTAATGATTCACCATTTTATATTCTTACAGCACTTTTCTACTCTTATTTCACTTCTCTTGTGGTAATAATGTCTTTCACTTTGGTTACAACATACATTCTAAGAACATTAAAAAAAAAAAAAAAAAAACCCTAACCAAACTATCATCTTATTCTCCCAGAACCTATGTTAGGTCTTTAAAACAATCTGATGAGCAACTATATTATCAATAACTAGTATTATTTTAAAGAACATTTGGAAATAAGCTAAAGGACTAATAACAAAGATTAAAAAATAAAATGCATAAAGGTGAATTGAAATGCACAGCATATATAATCAAAGACTTTTATTATTTTATTATTATTATTATTATTTAAATCAAAGACTTTTAAATAAGACAGCCTGGATTCAAATCAATCCCAGTTCCATCACTTATTATGTAGTCTTGGGTGGGTTATTTAACCTCAAGTAAAAAATACTTTTTAAAATTAGACACAAGTAATCAACAAATGAAAAATATCATTAAAAAAGAAAAAATATAATCATGGAAGAAACAGAACAGAAAATACTTCTATCATTGATATACTATGCAAGTTTTGAAAACTTAAAAATGAGTATTTTGAAATCCTAGTTTAGTAACGAGAATAAAGTACTTTTGTTAGTCAATAAGCACAATTTAACTATATAAAAAGACAAATATGATGACCTGGTTGGCATGTTCTGTGGTCCATTCTTCATCCAAGTTACCCAACTTAGCTTTTTGTTGATGTTTGAGATTCTCATTTTGTTCCTCTTTGGGTGGCGTTCGAGTGGCAAGAATGACATAATCCTTTTGTGAAGAACACTTAAAAACAAATTAGAAAAGTTTATTAGAGTGACATCTGATTGAGGAATGTAAAGCTCTTATGATATGCAAAAACAATAATATTTATAGGAACTTAAATTGTTAATACTTATATTATAAAGGACTCTTTAGGGAAACCAATTTTCATGGATAGCCTTACAATGTTTCCCTCACAGGTCATTTATTTATGTACATGATATACTTAGTATCAGCTCCTTATTTGTTTGGACATCCTGAATGTGAATCATACGATGGTCCTTAAAATTACTGGAAGAGTGAATGTACTGTATTTTAACTAAAATATGCTTGATCAATTTTCTAATTATATTTATTTTCTAAATAATCTGAACAGATTGGATAGCTCAGCAGATATAAAAACTCAGTAAGATAAAGCAACAAATAACTTTGTGTCTTACTTCCATTGAAACAATGACGCTAAGGAACTTGTATATGGGTGTCCACAGGAAAAGCAGAAGGGATGTCAGACACATAATTGAAGTGCTATCAGATTTATGACTCTGCTTTAATAGCAGTTTAATGGTAATAAAAGGTGGGATACCTAAAGATAAATTCAGGAACTTCTAAAAGCTCAGTCTCACTATAGTGAAGGTTTGATATAAAAAAAGTATAAACAAGACAGATAAAACCAATTAGCATGGTATCATTCTCATACATGATCTGGAATTGCCATTATGAGTATCATCCTGGAATAAAAAATAAAGGAAGAGAAATTATTTCTACAAAAGCTATTTCCAGAAAATTACATTCAAATGCACAGAGGAAAAGATAGCTGCTGATTAAGAAAGCATAACTTTAAAAAGGAAAGGAAACTGACCCAGAAAGTAGGAAACGGGCTAGCTGGAGGGGAAGAAGAAAAAAGTGATAAGCCCTGGAATAGAGAAGAAGAAGAAACATACTGGAAAGGATGAAAAGGCACCATCTAAAGGAAAGACTGGAAAGAAAACCTTAAATTGTGGAAGACTTATTTGTAAGATGGTGGTTTTGTCAAGCTCTAGTAAAAGCCTATGTGAGTAAGGCAAGTTTGGAAGAGGGTATTTCTCCCTAACCTTTTATCTTGACTATGCCTTTCTCTGAAACTCTTATCCCCTAAAACTTTCTTAAATAAAGGAAAGAAGAAAACCTTAAATAAAAAGTTCCTAACAAAAAAAGCCCCATACTGGATTCAAGTAACCTCAATCAAAAAAGTAGATCAGGGGCACTGGAGTGGCTCAGGTCATGATCTTGGGGGTTCAGGGATGGAGCCCTGCATTGGGCTCCCTACTCAGCATGGAGTCTGCTTCTCCCTCTCCTTCTGCCCCTCCCCTGCTTGTGCTCTCTCTCAAATAAATAAAATCTTAAAAAAAAAAAAGTTTAGATTATTGCCAAAAAGGTAGGTTGGCTGACTAATGAGAGGTTTCATAGGGTAGTACTACCTTGGTGAATAGTATAAGATCTACTCTCTGTCTTACAAGTTAAGAAATCAGATTTGTGAAAACTCTAAGAATGAACTGGTCTCTCAGGGCTAGAATGACATTAACTAAGCTCATTTAGAATGATGTTGAAAACAAGAATACCACGAAGGGGTGTGAACACATGACCCTCCTTGACAGTACATTCTTTATAAAGAGATAACATGGGGCTTCAAATTATAGGAGAGAAGTAGCTTTAAAATCTGGATAAAACCAAAACAAGAAAAGTTAATTATGCAATTTGAAGGTTCTAAGGTGTCATGATAAAAGACCCAGAAAGAAAACTGTCACAGAACTCTTTTTTGCTACTAGGCATCCAAATCAAGTCCTTGACCACAGTGCACTCTCTCCTAACCAGTGTTTAGATGAAGGTAATTAGTTTGTGACTCTCCTTTCTTTATTGCTTTCTACTGCTGACCCATCTTCCCTGCTGATTAACACATTTTTTTTCTTTAATTATAACAAGTCACCAGGTGCTTATGCTTTTTCTTTTTTTTAATATTTTATTTACTTATTCATGAGAGGCAAAGAAAGAGAGGCAGAGACATAGGCAGAGGGAGAAGCAGGCTCCCTACAGGGAGCCCGATGTGGGACTCGAGTCCAGAATTCCAGGATCATGCTCTGAGCCCGAGGCAGACACTCAACTGCTGAGCCACCCAGGCGTCCCATGATTATTCTTTTTAAAGTAATTGCCCAAATCTGGGTTCCATTTTTTGTTGATTTTTAAGCCTTAACTCCAAAAGGGAAATAAAATTGGTCTTATTTGCAAATTTCTCTTATTCCCTTTCCCTCTCCCCACTGAATCAACATTAAAAAAAAAATTTCAATAAGATTGAGTACCATAGATGTAACAATAGACCTGACCAATATTGCCGTACGACTGAGATAAAGCAAACAATGAGAATAGAGTTGTGAAAAGCTACTTTTGCAAAGAATTAGACAACCAGGAGTTAATAAAGATTAGAAGAGAGTACAAAACACTTGGAAAGATAATAACATATGTATAATCTGATCAGTGAATTTCTAATTTTGGAGTTTCTACATTATAAGTTACTTTTACATTGTCAAAAGGGAATGTGTTCTGACAGCAAACCTGAGCTAGGTTTGTCCTGCTTCTCCATATTTTTCTTCGAAGACCATTCTTAAGTTCTTCTTCTCCATTCCCTAACCTTGAGTTTATTGCTAAACAGAACATTTTAACATTAAAAAAACAGGTAATTTGTTTTACTAATAAATGCACTAAAAGATACATACCTGTCCAATTAAAAGACCAGAGACAAAATCCTTTCCTTGAAGATTTATGTTTGAAAGATACTGGCCAACAGTTTCTTCTACAATGTAGGTTCTTCCCATTATTGGGAACTAATTCAATCTCCTAAATTACAAGAAAAAAATACACAGCATTTTTAGGTAAAAATATAATTTGTGATGTTTTTGTCACAGGAGTTGTATAGAGACAGAGTTGTACCTTCCTGATACTATCCCATGCCTTGACTGCTTATTAAGTATTCTTTCCTGCAAAGTTCAAATGTAGCTTTAGAATTCTCAACACTGCGCTGCTGCAAATGACTACCAATCAGCGAGAGCTGACATAAAAGACAAAACTCTCTCCCGTATCTAAGATAAGGGAGAGAACACTAACCTACTAGTCAACACAGCTGATTTTTTATTTAATTTACTACTTGTTAGTTTGCATCAGCTTTGATAGTCTGTTGCTGAGCCTCATTGTGCTCATTTCTGCAACAGGAAAGAGGACAATTTCTGAGCTGCTCTTGGGAGGTAGAGAGAATCAAATTCGTTTACTCAATAAGCATAATATGAAGAATTACTATGTGCTAGAAATCGTGCCAGCTGGGATAGCACAAAGATGAACAATACTTGACCAATGCCCTTGAGCAACTCATAGTATAATTAGAATTATGAAATTTGATAAATAACAATGCAATAATAATGAACATTTACATAGTTTCTACTTTGTATAAGGCAATGTTCTAAGTACTTTACATATGGTAACATTTAATATTCATAGAAACTTCACAAAGTAGATACTGTTATTATAACCCTTGTTTTATAGATGAAGAAACTAAAAAGAAGAAAAGAAATGCAACTTGCCCAAGCAACAAAGCTGGTAAATGGCAAAGGTGGGATTTACACGGAGGCAGTCTAGCTCTAGAATCCAAGCCCTGAAATGCTATGTTCATATGGAGGAATAAAACCCCGTCTCTCAATTAAACTTTTACTAAGGGTAACCCCTGTTCTGCTTGCTTGCCCTCTCTCTCTCTCTCTCTCTCTCTCTCTCCAGTTTGTAGACAACAGTTGCAGCATTTTTTTTTCAGTTGCAGCATTTTGAAAAGAAATAATAGTCGTTTGAGTTGTGTAAAAAGTTTCAATCTTATTTAGTACAACAAAGGCAAGGCAGCTGCGGATGAACTGTATCTGACACCAGTAAATTGCCAGTCACAATGATTTTGCATTACTCTAAACGTAAATCCCGAAGAATTGGTTCCAGTTTGAAACTCCCTGTTGGATGTTGTCTCCTCAAAGAGCCTGTTCAGTGTAATTATGTCTTCCCAGATTTTTTTTTTCCCCAACAATCGTAAAAGTAAATTGGGTTTGCACCGGAATTATTTTTAGACTAAGTCTAGAACGGCCTATATGAATCATTAATGCTGCTATAAGTTTAAAGGCTTTCCACTTTTAACAGTGCCTTAATGTATGAAATTTTACTACGCTATTCTACTCCTTTTCCTTCTGCCTTAATTCTTGCAAGAAAAAGCAGTGACAGGGACTCCAAAGTTCTATGTAACTTCCCAACCTTATTTTTTCCAAGGTGTCACCTAGTAACCACATTACTGTAGTGCTTCTTCAAAACTCTAAAATATAGCCAGTCGTACTTTACAAAGGACACCACTAAAAACGCTGACCTTGCCTAGAACAGCTCAATTCATCCTCAAGTGCTGCGGGACAGCGTAAGCTGGCAAGCTCTGTCCAAGCACTGTGGCTGGAGACTCGGTCACATCTCAACCCTCAAGTCTCAGCTCATCTCTTTTGGCCTCTGGTTTCCTAGTCTACAAAATACAGAACTTGGCTCAGGCAAGTCTGAAAACCTACCTGATTTTGGGGTCCCGTGATTCTGCGCACAGAGTAGCTGCAGTTCCCACTTGGCGGATCACTGGTAGCGAGGCAAGGACACGGTATATGGTACTACAACATGCCAGCAACCTTCTTAACTCAAAACAACCCTACAACATATTTTGGGCGAAAAACCAACACATCCTTTACTCAATATTCACAACAGGCCTGCTGCTGCGGGAGACTGCAGGGGAGAATGACTTGGGAATGCTTCGTTTTCAATGAAGAATTCCACAAGTTCTTCTCGGAAGGGCGATGAAACATGAAATAATCTACGGATTCGGCTTCCAAGTCGCAGGCTTCACCACCTGGAAACAAGCAGTTCTATTACGGGGGCCAGGTGATCAGCGGGTTTGAAGGATGCTTTAAGACTTTTGTCACGACGCTTCTTCCATCTTAGAAATGTGAACATACGGTGGGAGCACTTTCTACGAGATTACCTCAAAACATAAAACCAGAGGTCACACTCAAAAGTCCTCCCGGTTTCTTTAAATCCTCTCCCTGAAAAATCAGACCGGCTCCTTAAGCTCCTGTGGGTCCTGGTCGTGACCCCCCCCCGCCCCGCCCCCCCCCCCCAAGGCACCAAAGGGCGCCGTTTCAAATAAAGCGTTTTGCGGTAACCGGACCTGTACCGGAGTGTCTGCCGGTACGTTTCCTACACTCGGTCCCTTTCTTCCTTCAAAAGGAGGCTCTCCGGGCCCAAAGGCACACACTCACTCCTCAGGTGCACGCGTGACAGACACACACCTGCCGAACGGTCGGTCCTCCGGAGATGGGGCTTTAAGGTGCAAGTACCAGCCTCCAGGGGCCAGGGGCCCCTCGGGTCCAAAGTCCACAACCGATGAATTCATCAAAAAGCGACAGACTTCCCTCACCTCACTTCCCACTCCAAACCCAGGGTCTCCGGAGCCAGGCGGCGCGGCCTGATGACGCACACGGCCCCCCTTCCTTCACCGCAGCACCTCAGCCAAAGCGACTGCGGTCGCCACCCCGCCCCCTTCCGGGCGCCATTGAGAGCGTGGCGGTAGCCCGGGGCCTGCCGTCCAGCCCTGCCCGGACCGATGCCCTCTAGTGGCTCAGTGTCTAGAAGCCGCCAAAGAGGACGACCCATGGCATCCCGGAGCTTCGACGGTAAGGTCGCCTTGCTTTTCAGGGAGCGACGTGAGTTGACGGATACTCTGTGGCGCCACCTCGCGGACAGCTGCCAAGCAGCCGGACGGGGCGGGGGGGGCGGGGGAGCGGGGGAAAGGAGAGCCGTGGGGCGGGGAGAAAAAAGGAAGCGGAATGGGCGTTGCGCAGTCAGGCTCAGGGAAGGGATTGAGAAAAACACTACGTTTCCCACAAGCCCGCGGGGCTTGAGGCGGGTGGCCTGGGCGGCGTGTGGCGGGGGGGGGGGGGGGGCCGGAAACCGGGCAGGGGCAGAGGCCCCTCTGAACTCGGATTCCCAGGGTGCCCAGCTTCCGGCGGCTGCGCGCGCAGTCCGGGCGCGGGCGCTGTGGCGCGGCTGGTGCCGGCGCTGAGGCGGGACTCGGTTTCCCAGGGTCCCGCCGCGGGAGTCTCCGGCGGGCAGGCGCGCGCGAGCCACGGAGCGAGGTGGCCGAGGCGGCCGCCCAGGCTTCTGGGTCCTCTTGGTCTTCGCCTTTCTGCTCCGCTTCTGCTCCGCCGGCGGCTGGCGCCGCGGCCCCCGGCGCGATCGACATGGCGGCGGTGTTGCAGCAAGTCCTGGAGCGCACGGAACTGAACAAGCTGCCTAAGTCCGTCCAGAACAAACTCGAGAAGTTCCTTGCTGACCAGCAATCCGAGATCGATGGCCTGAAGGGGCGGCATGAGAAATTTAAGGTGGAGAGCGGTAAGTGGCGACGCTCTTCCCGCCCTGGATCTGGGCCCGGCTCCGTAGCTATGGCTGGTCTTCTCCCCTGGCGAGCTCGCTTTCTGCCTGCGACTCTCGCCTCTCCGTGCTGGCTTCGCTTCCCCGGCTCCTTAGACTGCCCACCCCGCCCCACCCCCAGGCCTTCGCCTACCTGCTCTCACGGTTAGATAGAAAGCAGCCCTTTTGTTTGTTTGAAACCCAATTCACGTTCAGTTCCGTTCTCTTTGTAGTCCGGGCGGTCTCTTGTAGGGCCCCTTGATGATGTTGGGCGCACATCGGGGTCTCTTTGCCTCCGGACTGGCGGGAGTCTGCGGCCCCTGTCTCTAACCTTAGAGTACCCGGTCTCTCTGTTGCTCTGCTGGCGATTTCCGCTCGGTTTTCTGGTCACCTGCATTCGGAGGCCTTTGTCTGATTGCACTACTTCGTGCCCTGAGTTCTGTTCCTCAGTCCTTCGCGCTGGTCCGATTGCGAACTAGATGTTCACCTAAACGCGTACGTGCGGAAGACAGCGCTGGAAACCGTGAACGTAAAAAAGTTGGATGTATCGGAATTCTCTCTACACGTTGGAGTTTAATAGACGATATGTTAAGGCTTGTTTAGACGTACTTACAGGAGGCCCTCAAGAAAGGAAGTCGCCGACCATAGCGACGACTATATCCACGAAGAAGGATTAAGAGCGTAGCAGCTACCCTTACTGAAATATATAAACTCCTGTTATAATTTGCCCTGGTTTACCTGGGGTGATGCCGCTTTTGCTAAGTTGATACAAAATTCTGAACCCTGTCATTTCAAAGACTTTTAATTATCAAGCAGCATTGGATGTCGGAAAAGTAATTATTTGAATCCCAACACTGAAGATAGCACGTACACTGGCTCCTGTTGATTTATTTATACATAAGTATCGATTGTCTCCTATGTGCTCCATACTGTGCTCAACAGGACACACTCAGTCCTTCTCTTGTAAAGTTAACACAGTTTTAGATAAATTTAGTTATTTTATATCTTTAGGTATTTCAGTCTTTTAATACAACCTTTTAAAACGAAGCAGTTTTTAATCTAAATTTTTTTCTCCATTTAATAAGGTATCTTTGAACATGAGTCTGCTTTATACTAAAATGTCTGTTGATTTTTATGGGGAAAATACTAAGGTGGGTAAAGACTTGTTGCCTGCTTTGAAGAATTGCAGTCTTATGGAAGAGAAGTTGTAAAATCCCCTCTAGGTCTCATTTTCTTTTGTCATAAACATATGTCAGTTGGAAATGTTAAAGTCCTTTCAGTGCTCTATTTATCTTTACTCAAAATCTCTTATTTGAAGTGCAATTCAAATACTGTGTCTTTAAGTTTTAAAATCGGCATTATTAAAAGTAAATAGCAGTATTGACAGTGTGTGTACATGTATGTTTGATTTTATTTTTTCCTCTGCTTCTGAAGAACAACAGTACTTTGAGATAGAGAAGAGGTTGTCTCACAGTCAGGAGAGACTTGTGAATGAAACCCGGGAGTGCCAGAGCTTAAGGCTTGACCTAGAGAAGCTCAGTAAGTATTTTTACAACCTTATTTCATTCTTGTAGTATAGGGATTTTTAGACACTCTTTTGGATGCTTTGGAAACATTGACATACTGTTTATGAAAATACTGATTGTCACTGTTTTCATTTAAGGTAGTATTTGGAGTTTTCACTTGATGGTGAACATGAGAAACGTAAGGCTTAGTGGTCAGGAGTCCTGGGTTCTAATTCTGACTGCTATCAGAAGCTCTTTTGGCCATTTGTAAATCGTAATATATGAAATGGCTAGAACCACCCGTCCATGTGCTTACATAACTTTACAGATCAAATGAGATGTTTGAAAGCATTTTAAAGACGCATGAAGCATTATGCAACTGAAAATGTAATTAAGGACAGAGTCTTAATTATTTTTTATGTTGTTGAAGATTAAGGCCGATAGCTTCCTTATGTGTTTCTTCTTATGAAAGATGAACAATTTCCTTTTTTTTTTTTTTTAAGATTTATTTATTTTTAAAGAGTGAGCACAAGGTGGGGTAGGGAGAGAATCTTATGCTGACGCTGTGCTGAGCCTAGACTCCGATTCAGGACTCGATCTCACGACCCTGAGAGCGTGACCTGAGCTAAAAGCAAGAGACGAATACTTAACAGACTATTCCACCCAGGTGTCCCGAGTAATTTTGTTTTTAATTAGTTTTCTCCTATCATTAAGTTCTAGAAGGTACACTAGATCTTAGTTAAGGTCCTAGCTTTTCTTGGGAAATGTGTATTATATACTTTGGTTATGATAAGAGAACGCAAATGTCAAAAGATTGTTATAGAGTGAGGACATAATATTTGCTGTTAGATATAGCTGGATTTTTAATTTGGGAACACAGGAAGCTAATAAGAGAATGGTTAGCACTTCAGCCATTTTTCTTAACTAGGTCTGTGCCCATCAGCTATTTAGGTCATAATTTTTTCCAGCTAATTTTGAAGCACTTTGATACATGTGTACAGTGGTATATATACACACATGGAACGAGGGCATAAGTAATTTATTGAGTAGCTAGATCTGGTTCATCATCTGTATATGGTTCTGCTTTGGCATAATAACTAGGTCTACAGAGCTATGGTGCTAAAGAATTTCAGGAAAATTATTGTGCTAAAAAAAAAGAAAAGAAAATCATTGTGCTTATATCTTCTTTAATGAATTCTGAAAAGGGGAGGAGGAGAAGGCGAGGATAAACCTAGACACACATGTAGTATGCCTTTCTGGGGTATACAATTATGTTTGTTTTTTTTAGTTTATCATTCTAGATCTTAACTTTGGAAAACAGTAAATAATAATAGTGCAAAATAGAAAAATCAGACTAATTTACATGGTTTTTCTCTATAATAAGCCAATTGTTTAAGTAGAGCTAAAGATTGGAAGTAGTGATCATGTATTTACTCATTAAATTGCTAGCACATAGTATAGATATGTTTCAGTGAAAGAAATTGTCAGAAAGCTTATTTTTCCTAGTTATCTGCATGCATTTGGAGAAGAAACTGTTCAAGGGGAGATAGACCACTATAAGTGGAGATTGTGGGATTGATGATCAAGCATAATTTTTTTTCCTCCATATCGAAGGCTCTTTTGAGTGATAAACAAGCTGTATCACAATTATCCTTTGTTATCCATTGTTATGTGTTACGTAAACATTGTTTACATAGTTTACTCTGTATACATTGTTTACATAGTTTAAATGTTTTTTATTCTCTTGACTTTTTTTTTTCTCAATTACCTGATTTGTAAATATAACTAACTCATTGTAATTGATTTAGAAGAGTCATTGAAATATGATGAAAGTGATAATTGCATATGCTTTTTTCTATAAATGTTGGTTAGAATGATCACAAATATGATTTGGGAGACAGGATAATATATTTAAAAATTTGGTTTGGGGCATCAGGTGGCTTAGTCGGTTGGGCGTTTGATTCTTGGTCTCAGCTCAGATCTTGATCTCAGGGTCATGGTTTTGAGCCCCAAGTTGGTTTCTACACTGGGCGTGATGCTTACTTAAGAAAAAAAAAGTAAAATGGGATGCCTGGGTGGCTTCATGATTGAACGTCTGCCTTTGGCTCAGGTTATGATCCTGGGGTCCTGGGATTGAGTCCCACATCAGGCTCCCCATGGGGAGTCTGCTTCTCCCTTTGCCTATGTCTCTGCCTCTCTCTCTGTGTGCCTCTCATAAGTAAATAAATAAAATCTTAAAAAAAAAAAGTAAAAAAATTTGTTCTAGAAGTAGAGTAAATGTGGGATATTCATGAATTTGTAATACTGTTTTACAACTCAGCCTTTCTGAAACTCAATTTCTTCATTTTAAAATGTATACGGGTGGCAGATGCATGAAAACTGTCACTGCAGTTTTTAAGTTTATGGATGTATGTTCATAAAATTCCTTTTATCCAGACAATCAACTAAAGGCGCTGACTGAGAAAAATAAAGAACTTGAAGTTGCTCAGGATCGCAATATTGCCATTCAGGTAAAAGTTATTCCTGTGAATAAAGCTAACTAT